TGCTCAATTTATGAATCAAGGGTATCTTCGTGTTCAGTTCACTCAGAGGATTCCACTTTTCAGACCCTTGCAAATTCTCCATTGTACACACGTTGTTTCTAAAACGAGCCAGGAACCCAGGAATGGCGATATCCTGTCGCATTTGGGATGCCTTTGGACTTGGGGACGAAAGACCAGCCGACGCACCCAAAGTTATTTCATCCTTTAGGAGAGTTCCACAAGTTAATCGTTGTAAATGGACCTCTTAGGAATGCGTATATGCACGGAAGTATGCGGCTAAAACTCACATGAAGGCCTTATAGTTTGTGCCGATCTTCTGGACATGGATGTCGTATTTGCTGTCAACGTAGGACTCGGTCGTGCAGTAGGTGTTGGCAACGGCCACGACGGAGGCCATGTCTTGGAAGTCCGTGTTGTTTTCCACCTTCACCTTCCCAACGCCGCTGTGGGCGTGGCCAACCTTGAACACCACCGGGAACTTAGGCGCGCTCAACTGAAACCGTCCAACAGTCATCGTAAGATCACGGAAACCTCAAGAAAATTTTTTTAAAAACAGGGTTGCCAGCGACCGGGAAAACCGGGAAAAGTCAGGGAAAAAAAATCAAGCGGGAAAAGTCAGGGAATTTCGGTGTTGGTCAGGGATTTTTCTGATTTTTCGTGGAATTAGGCGCGGGCGGTCTCGGGCTCGCGTTGCGGGATCAACTGGATCAATTTCACTTCAACAGACTGCGTCAGATCCATACTTAAAAGTCAGGGAAAAATATTGGAAAGTCAGGGAAAAGTCAGGGAATGGAAAAAAATAATTTGACTGGCAACCCTGTAAAAAAAATTTCACAAATTTAGTCAATCTCATTTAGCTTAGAAAATGATTTTTAAATGTCAAAGTCTACCAGAAAGAAGTCAAGTTCAGCGAACATTGTATACACAATGTCTAAAAGGTAGTAGCACTGAATATATTGGTATTTGGAGTGTAGGCAAGTGCTAGAAATAATGTAACATTTTCTTTTAAAAAAGAAACTTACATTTTATTAACAAACTTTAGCCGAAGCTTTTTGAAGCAAGCGCTTCATCGTCAGGGTCACAAAATATAAATCACTGAAATCTGATCCTTTCAGATCATACGAATACTTACCATTTCTTTGTGGTTAGGGTAAAACGTCTGGTCTATCAAAGGAAAATTTTCCTTGCCTAGTCTTCGTTGAATTTGGAGCAAATGAGAGAACACCCAGGGTTTATCCTGCGAAAAAATTCAATTTGTTAGTAGGTGGGACAATTTATAGGGACAAATTTTTTTGAAATAGCTTTAGAAAGAAATCCCTAGTGTTCTGAAAATACACAAATGCCTACAGACTTGAAAACCACGAATTTCGGCCTGGCACGTGGCAGAACTCTTGTCGTATTACATTTTAAGTGAAAAACTCACGGATGTTCTTTTGAAGAAAGTGTCTTAATTTTTCTACACCGTTTGAAGAATATTCAGATTCATAGAAGTATTGTTTTTCCTGAAAACTGAAATTACGAGCAACTAGAGGCCTACGCGGCTACCAACCACTAAAAAAAAACTGCACGTAAAAAATTGCAGAACAACCATCAGCAAATTTTCCTACATAATATTAAATAAAAGCATCGAAAATTTAGTGGCGATATTTTTGTTCATCCTATTTCCTTTTCATGTGACTAAAAGCAATTAAATATTATCCGAGTTCTTGAATCGTTACAATGAGGATACATATTTTTCCTTTGATCATGGTAAAAACAGGAACAGAGAGTCAAGAATGACGGCACGTAATCCTAGTTTATATTAGTGGTGGCCTCAGCGTCGCACGAGCCAGGAAAGGGAACGCTGTGGAGTCATCTTCGTAGTGTGACAAGCCCTCCATCCGGCTAGTAGAAATATGCTTACACCCGTGGTCGAATGTATAGTTATCTCGTTACGCCTGCCATGAATGAAATCAAATATCGACGCCTGCACGCAAAAAAAATGTTCTTATCTCCGATTGCAACGTCGCACATCTCTACTCATGTTTTATTTTTAATAACTTTTTTTTAACAAAAGCTACGCCCAGTTTTTTTTTGAAGTTACCGAGAAATTTCCGGAATGATTTATAAAATCACCACAAATTTCGACGCGATATTTTCGTTCGTTCTGTTTTCATTTATTAAACCAGAATTAATTTTACTCAAATCAAGTTCCAGAATCGCTGTATCGCTTCAACATCGTCCGAGTTTCTGAATATTGCAATTAAGGTACATATTTACTCTTTAATTGTGGTAAAAAAACCGGGCAGTCGAATAGTTATCGCGAATAACTGTAGAATTGCGTTTGGTGCAATGCGAGAAGTATTCATGCAGTCTTGTAGGCGCTAATATGCGCCCACGCCAACCGCACTGTTTGGCGCAATGCGTGAAGTATTTCCACAGTCTTGCAGGCGCTGATATGAACGTGACACCGGCCACACTGTGTTTGGCGCGGTTATTCGAACTTGCGTTAGGATAATCGCGGCATCGAATAATGGGGTTTAAAAGGCCCATGTTGTGTTTCGACGCCGTATGAGTATTCCAACGTTGCCTGGTTTCTCCCGATGAAATATTTAATCCGAGAAAATTTTGATGAAAAGATGTTTGAGAAATTTATTCACATACATGTCAAATTCAATAGTTCGACGGTTCAAGTTCGCAAACACGTATTCTCGTTTGCAGTGTTTGAAAATCTCCTTTACTATTTTACTTTTTTAAAGGAGAAAAAATTGACATAATTCCTTGAAGTTTTCAAAAAAAATCACGATGTTTTTAAGAATTGCCGTAAATTATTTGTAGTTTACCATTTTAAAAATAAAGTTTGGCAGGAAGTCTGCAACGTCGCAAGCCGAGATACGTGGTTGTATACTTACACCGTCAAATTAGTCTCTGACTAAATATGTATGTCCCCTATTCTCATTAAAGTATAGTGTTAATTATCGGCATTATATTAGTCAGGAATAAACTGCTTTCTCTAAAAACAAAATCGAAGTAGGTTTCAATAATTTTTGCTAAAATATTTCAAAAATAATATGCTGGCATTATCTCAATTAAGACTCACTTGAAAATTATAAATAGCATTCGGTGAGTTGATACTTGGGACCCCTCCAAACTTGAGCCCAATCAGCAGATTTTTGTAGTTTTCACCCGCGTCCCTTAAGTTTTGTCGTATGAGAACAAAATCCGGTCTGAAAGATCTGGAAAAAACAAAGGATTCCCGTCATGAATGCATGGCCAGTGATTAACGTCAGGGAAACGTGTCCATATTTATTATCATATTGCAAATATTGAAAAACTACAACCATTTTTTATTCTATCTAAACAAATTGTATCTGAAATATCGTAATTAATACATGATTAATACGTCTGATAAGCAAGATAATAGTAGCATACATACTCAGATCGGAAAACTCATTCAGATAGTAAAAAAAAACCAAAATGAGCGAAGCAAAAAATAGATAAGGAATTAAACCTGAAATGTAATTATTTTAGGTTTAATGAAGAATATAGATAAGGGATTAAACCTAAAATATTATTATTTTAGGTATAATTCCTTATCTATTTTCTGAATATATTAAAATTAAAAACTGACATCATTTCGCGCAAGTAATTAGTAATTCTTACGTTGATGTTTATTTACATGATATTTATTTTTTTGTCGCCCATTTTCATCGGTTATCATCAATGGGGCCTCAATGAAACTTTTGGAGTATCGTAGTTTCTATGAAGTTCTAAGTCAATCACGGTTGTTTGTCCTTCAATTTTTTGTTTGGACGTTTGTCGTTTCTTGTTTGTTAACTTTTTACTATCTCTTTCCTTCTTTTTACTCTCTTTTTACTCTTAGTATTCTTTACTTGCTGTAGTAGGTTGTACAGGAGTGCATACTGATTTTGTTTGAAAAAAGTTTTTCCTTCTTAAACATTACACGTTGTTCAAGTCTCCTTTCTTCCAACGAACAATACCAGTAGGGGTTTTTAATTTTTTACTACTTTAATTTTCCGCATAGGAATTGAGTAATGGGGGCAGTTAATGCGAATGACGAACCTGATAACTTTAGTGCCGTTTCGGTAGACACCCATGCTGACAACGGTGCCGCTCTCACAGTTGGCTGTAAGAGTGATTTCTTTGAACTCGGCCTGCTCCACCCTAATGTCGAAGTCCCCGTGCAAGCGTCGCCCTCGGAAATATTTTGACCTGTGCAAAGAACATATGTCCATTTCAGAGCATAATGAATAACTTAATCAGTTCAAAACAAACAAGAAAGAACTACTTCATTCGGAGAAAGGTCGCCTCAACTAGAAAATTCATAACGCCGAGACTTTTCGATTTCGACGGGTTCAGCTATCGATATCCTCGACGATATCAGGCAGAGTAACATTTCATCACTGTGTGTTGGGGAGGGGGGGGG